AATTAAATATAAACAAAAGATCCACGTAAAATAAATGAATTTAGTGTAAAATCTACGCCCAACACCTAACGATCGACGGATCCTGCCTATAAGTGGATATAGTTCTTGAGCATATCATATTATAAGGTAAGACAACTACCTAATAATTAATAAAATATAAAACAACTTAGTTAATGCAAATTCGTTATAAGTAACTATAACATCATAAAACAACTACCAAACCTTATAATCCTCTAACGATAAGCTTTAAAACTAGGTTTATGTAGCTACTTAGTTGCCTAACAGTCGACGGATCGTGCCAATGAATGGTTATATATGGTTCTTCACCATATCACATTATAAGGTAAGATAACTATCTAATAATTAATAAAATCTAAAACAATATAATTAATGCAAATTCGTTATATCTATCTATCTGTCTATAGATAGAATACATGTTTTTTATAAGAAAAAAAAAATAATAATAAAAAAAAAAGCTTAAATGATAAATACAGGTCAAAAAATACTAAATGCAGTTGCAGAAAATGTTGGATACAATTGGACAAAATTTGCATATAGGAGCAGTCTAATAATTTTATATTCAGAGGGTATGTCAAAGGAAGATTTTACTTGGGTTTTCCCTAGTTTAATAAAAGGGCAAGGGAGCCTTGACAAATGAGCCCTTACGAAAAATTGCAGTATTTCGTCATTGGAGTAATTATTTCTAAAAGATATGTAGTCCTTAGAAAAAGTTCTTTTTGGTGTGGTGTTTTTGTACCTAGAACGAATATATAGTATAAATTTGTCATTGCTCATGTCGAAACTTTCTAATATTCGTTGATCTCGTCGCACGTATTTGCATATCTTGTGTGGTTTGCGGATTTGAAAAGTTGTACGCTAATATTTTTACCGTCAAGTTTGTGACCATAATATGATATTATATAATTTTCAAGGTCTCAATAAAATACTGCACCACGTAAAATTCACCCAGCAGTATATAACAATAGTTTAGTGGTTACATACAATAACACTCATATACATGTATACTTACAAGTGAATATTACCTAGTGAATTTAATCAAGATAGTAAGTAATTGTGAAAAAAAATATGTATAACTATGATATAGTAAGTTCACCTAACTCCGACTTAATTATTTTCGTTCGTTTCATATTTTACGCATTGTTCTAAAAATCGGTCGAGGTGGCCGATTAATCGGTCTCCGAGGCGGAGGCCGTCCAAAACCTTTACGATTTTAGTGTAAATGTTTGAAAAATCGGTTTTTTGCCTGTGAGGCGGTTTTAGGCGGTCTGAGGCGGTCAAACATTTAAGTCGGGTCAAACTTGGTAACAAAAATCGGTCAAAAATCGATTTTTTTTTTAATTCAAATTAAAACTTGTGATTTAAATTAAAAAAATGAGTTTATGCTTAATTTTTTTATGTTAACTGTTATTGTTAAATAACTAATGATGTATGCTAGGAATGTTCAAGAATAAATGTAAATTCAAAAAAAAATGCCTTTTTATTTTATAGGATTTTTTTGCATAAGTCCCCAACAAAACATCTTTATTATTCTAGGTTTATGGGCTATATCTCTTTCACCAATAAGCCATCCATTTAATATTTATTATAAATAAAAGAAAACATTAATGTATATGCCAATATTACCTTCAACCATTTATACACAATTCTTAATTGTAACCCCAATTTAATCAATTTTGTCCACAAAAATCCAATTTTGACCTCAAAAATTCAATTATGACTTTTTTTTGGAGCATACTTTAATATGCTCCAATTTCATCCATAACTTAATTTAATCTGAATTTGACCCCAAATTTCACAAATTATTCAATTTTGACCCAAAACTTTTTTTTTTTTCAAAAAAAAAAAAAAATTGCCGCCGGATTCCGGCGTTGACTTTTCAATTTTTTTTTTCTTTGGGATTTTTTTCGCCGGTTTCCGGCGTTGATTTTTATTTTATTTTTCTGTGTTGTTTTCTTTTCTTCCGGATTTTTTCGCCGGTTTCCGGCGTTGACTTTTTAGTTTTTTTTTTAAGTTTTTTTTTTCGTTTTTTTTTTTTTTACTTCCACCGCTTAATGTTGACCGTAATTGTGTTGTCATTGACAGTAAATTAACGTAATTATACTGTCAATGACATTTAATTAACGTAATTGTACTGCCGTTGACAATACATTTATGTAATTGTTCTGCCGTTGACACTAAATTAACGTAATATTGTTATTTTTTATTTTTTGTTATTTCTTTTTTATTTTATTTGATTTGTTGACAAGTCAACGTAATTATATTACTGTTGACAGTAAAATAACTGTAAACACAATAATATTATTGTCAACAACATCAATATTATTATTTTTTTGGGTTTTTTGTTTTGTTTGAGTTATTCATGGAGTAACGTAATAATATTACTGTCTATTATTGTAATATTACTGTAAACACAATAATATTATTGTGGTTGACGGTAATATTACTGTTGTTATAGTAATATTGCTGTCAACCACATCAATATTATTATTTTGTTTGGTATTTTTTGTTTGTTTGAGTTATTCACGGAGTAACGTAATAATATTACTGTCTATTATTGCAATATTACTGTGGTTGACGGTAATATTACTGTTGTTATAGTAATATTAATTCTTTTTGGCTGTTTATTATGTTTACATTTGTTGAACGGTCAATATAGTAATATTACTCTATAACACATTAATAATGAGTTTTGTTGTGTTAATATTACTGTGCTAGAGATTAATATAGCAATATTACTGTGTTAAACTATAGTTTAGTTAATTTTATTGTGTTTAACAGTAATATAGTTAATATTACTGTCAAACACAGCAATATTGCCGTTTAAACGAAAAAAAAAGTTACAGAAAGAAAGAAAAGAAACAAATATCGAAAAAGTCAACGCCGGAAACCGGCGAAAAAATTCGGAAGAAAAAAAAATGAAAAGTCAACGGCGAAATCTGGCGGGAAAAAAATGTTTTTGAAAAAAAAAAAATTTGAAAAAAAAATAGTTTTGAGTCAAAATTGAATAATTTGTGAAATTTTGGGTCAAATTAAGGTTAAATAAAGTTAAGGATGAAATTGAAGCATATTAAAGTATGAGGGATTATTTTAGTCCTTTACAAAAATCTGGACCATATGTGGACTTATTGGTAAATGAGATTTTTATCTAGATCTCTTTATGAATAATTACCCATTGATGGCCTTATTTGTAATCACCCCTATTTTATAAGAATATTTATGTATTATGATATTATTATTATTAAACTTTTATTTTGTTATTAGGATATATACATTATAGAGATATAACTATGTTTAAATATTTTTTATATATATTTTGAGTATTTATAATTAATATTTAGAAATATATTATATTAAATTTTAAAAACCGATTTATCACCGATTAATCACCGCCGCACCGATTAATCGTGAGTCGGTGCCTGACCGCCTCCGACCTGATTACCGCTGTTTACAACCTTGATTTTACGCGTATATATATATATATATATATATATATATATATATATATATATATTAGTCACACCTACTTCCTTTGGAGAGAGAGAGAGGGAGGGGGGGGGGGGGCTCTCTCTCTCTCTCTCTGGGGGGGGGGGGGGGGGGGAG